ATTATTATTATTTATTATGCTTTTATTCTAGCTTCGGCCTAAGAACTTGAGATCAATGGACATTGTTTTTACATATATGTTATAAATATGTCTTATAACTGTCAACATTTTTGGGGTTCGTCTAAAACTTGTGTGACGCTTATGCACAGTTTTTTCATTGGTTGAATTCAATATTTCAACATTTTAAAAAATAGTTAAATGGGATTAATTCGGATTTGAGAAAGTGATGGGCGAATAATTCGGCAGCGGTTATTATATTTTTATTTTTGTATCTGGACCCACGATTTTTTCTAAACAACTGAACCGATTTCGTCATCTGCAACAACTCAATAGATCGGAAATCGTACCTGAAAAGTATTTGGACCAAAAATTTAAAAACTTCACCCCTTTCCCTTTTAAATCGAGAATAACGTCCAAACAATTTACATATTTTTCAAATTAAAATTACGGTGCTTTATAACTTTTTTAAACATAGATGAATTAGTTTCAAATTAAAAATATAAAACTAATACTTAGTGTACAAATATTTTGACACTCTAACATAAAAATATATAACATGGATTAAGGTTATTATTTTTTTCTTTTCCCTCAATATTATTACTATTTGTTGGTTCTTTTCATGTTTATTTCCATTTATGTTTCCTAACTGAAATTAGTTACGCAGTATGGAAGCCAAACGGTCACAAATTTTATTTTGTCCCGCATTACACCTGCTACATTCCTCAATAGTCCATTATATATGTATGTATGTATTATTATTATTATTATTATTATGCAGGCCGACTATCAAAGTGATAATTGAATCTCGGCATTATTGTGAGTGTGGACAATCATATTTGGGTCGGACACAACGAGTGGTCCTGCCGAAAGTATCGTATCTTAGTCTTTTACCGACCCGACATCATGAAAACCATGAACTGCGTTTTCCTTGGTTTGTGTACATTCAACAACCAGTCCCTATCATTATTATAGGAACCAAAACATTCCATAAAACGATGATGTTTATAAATAAGGATAATATCCTTTTTTTAATTGCTGTATATTATTTTCGTAAACATTTTATCTGCTGCTCATGTATAGATTATACTCTGTAGTCATACAATACAATTTAGGAGAAAACAAAATGTCCAACTATTTTAATGGGTATTATTACAAATAAAGATAATAAAATTAAATACTTATTTTGATTGTAGAAAAAATTATGTTTGAGTTGTCAACTGTCACATAACGCGAATAACTGTCGAGACAGCTCGGTTGCGTTTATTTAATAAGTATACCCAATGTGTTTGGAAATATTGCGCAACGATTATGTTTGGAGGTTTACTTAACATTGTAACAATCGCGATCAATATCCCATAAATTGACAAAGTAAAAAAAAAAAATGTAATTTGTTCTCTATAGTTCGGCCATAAAAAATACAAAACGAAGTGAATAAACCTTATAGTTTCCTTTTGAAACGAATATCATACAGCTATTATAGTTTGCCGATGACGACGGCAATGACGGTTATGATGATGATGATCATGACGATGATGAAGATGATCATGACAATGAGCAACTTTTGGACCACGCCCAGCTTCCAATGGGCAAATGGGATAATACCTGTACCGCCTGAAGGAGGAAGGCGCTCGGCCGGCCGCACCGTAAAGAATAAGACGATGCCGCCAAGCAATATATTATTCGAGAAAGAGATCTACAACGAGCGATGCCCCGTGTATGTATAATATCATGTAATACTATTTTATACCTATAGGTACATGCAGCTAAAAGTATACACACAAGCACACATTTACACACATTTGAGAAAGCGGAGGGAGAAAACATTAGCGAGCACCTGTGCGTGTACACCGGCCGTCGTTACGGTATCCCACGGGACATTCTACATGTTGCTTGCATATCATGTGTATGCGGTGAAGATGTACAATGTGTACAGTGCACACTGTATCCCGTATATTACTGACTCTGAACTACGAGTCAACAAGTTCTGGATAAAAAACAAAAGTGACAATAATTTTATTTAATGATTTAACGAAACTATTGGGATCAATAAAACGTATAATAAGCAATTAATTACACGTTACTTAAGCATCGATTATGATAGTCGTCAATAATTTGTATTCTAAATAAAATCAATTATAAAAATTCGGTTAATTACTGCGAGACTGTTCGACTGACATGATAATTAAAACTTAGTTTTTTATATTAAAAAAATCCACGTGTACATAGTAATTAATTTACTAGTAAGAAAATGTTCTTTGTGTCTACGTATATTTAATACGATTTTCTTTGCTACTAATAATTAGTGTATTATCAAACTTAATACTTATAAATGTATATATGTTTTATATTACATTACTCATTAGTATTAAATGCAGCATTTATAGCTTAATTATTGCACAAATTTAAAATAATAATATTAGTATAATATTATTAGTTTATAGGATAACAATATTTCAAGATAAAAACTAAATGGGAATTAATAATTATAGTTTCACTGTTCGTCTATCAACTATAGTAAAAAGTCTAGAAAAAAACTTAATCAACATTTGTGGTCAAATAAACTGAAGAAATAAAATAATGAAATATTTAAATAAACTCTTAAACACAAAAATAATACTCTATAATAGAGTATTATGAGTAGTTATTTCTTTACTATATTGAAGAAAATTATTTTTTTCTCCCCTTAACGGAAAAATATTGAACAATGGATATGTTATTAGACATGATAAATGCCCCTCCCCTCCCCACACTTTAACTTTTCCTTTACGGGTGTAAAAGCTTTAAATCTGGATTAAATCTAATATATTATCTCTAATCCTTTATAACCTTATCAGCTCTTTCTTATCAAACCTGATCAATTCCGTAACCCAAATATGTCGCAAATATTGGATTGACCTCTAGCCCAAAAAAAAAATTATATTAATATCTACTTCTATGTAAATTATACTGATATAATTAATTACTATATGTATAGGTTATTTTTAAATATTATTTCAACATAAAAACATAAAACAGTTGAAACATTGACAGCATTCATTGAGAGTTCAGAGGAAGATAGAAAAAATATAACTGCATGTTGCATACCTATTACCAGGGTTCTGGATTTTAAGTATCTTGTAAAGTGTCATACTGCAATTTCAAATCTAAAAGCTCAAAATACATAAAATAAATAATAATTTTAATATAAAGAAAAAAGCTTACATTTTTTGAAGAGCTAGTTTTTTTGGTTCTGCTTGCTCAAAGAGGACCTTTTTTTCGATCCGGAAGTATAACATTTTCCTATTGTTATGGAAAATAGAATAACTTGGCATTATGTCCGCGTATTTCGTCGGTTCGTTTGTCTGTCTATGCGGCTTCTAATTTTCTTTTTTAATTTTATGTTGTTCAATTGTTCAGATTAACTGATTAAAATTTGATGGCAATTGGATTTCATTTTGATGCGAAATTCTTTGATTTATTGAACCTAAGCGTTTGAAATTAGTATAGTTTAAGTTTAGCTAAACTTGATAAGTCATTAAGTGTTGGTTTATGGTGATTATAGCTTAACAATTTTAAAGTTTTTATATGCAGTTTTTCTATTACAAGTCGAACTAACCACCTTTTGACCCTGACAAGAGATTTTTTCGATTATGTTAGTATGACAACTGATAGTTAGCATAGGTTTTTTTATTTTCAGTGTTAGACTTTGGAAGTTTCATTTTTGGGATTCCTTAAGTATCTTCCTTATTTATACCTATTATAATGATTTTGAAGTGCTTAGAACGAGGGTTTTACGTGCATACGTAAACGTTTATTTTAATGGTTTTAAGTGTTTTAAGCTCTTTTCGATGTTTTATCCACATAAATGTTATAAAATGTTCGTAATTATTTTAAGCTTTTATAGTTTTACCTTTTTAAATTACATTTCTGACATTATTTTTACAAATGAGTTCCAGTTCTATATTGGCATTGGCATTTATTACGATCTAATATAAGCTTTATAGACTTCTATACGAGAAATATTTATTGTTATAATATTATACATCCCATTTTTCATTATCTATAGCTACAAATGTATTATTTACATAAATCTATCCACCTCATTTCGGCTGATCGCTAACTTATTTTATATTTTTAACTTAGTTTACTGAAAATATATTTTTATAAATGTACAATATTTTAATTTGTTTTCAATTATCACAATGAAGTTGAAGCATTTATATTTAATGTTTATACATTCCAAAAGCTCTCAAAGTTACGGTGATTTTGCTGAACAATTTAGTTCAGTAGTTGGATCATCAATACACATTGGACCACGTCATGTATTTCTAGTTTCTACTGTCGGCTGTACACAAACATAAATTGTAATAATTTCATCATACACAACATCAAATTATTCGAGTCTAGTGTTTATTTTGTTCATATACGTACGTTTCCGATCCTTTCTTAATACACGGATGACGAAGTAGCGTGAATCTATCCGAACGGTCTCCGAAATATTATATTTTATTATACATATATGTTTGTAGTATATTGTATACCATTGACAGGTATAGGATTTGCGAACGCCGTAACAGGAAACGTCCGGAAACAATTTCGCGTGTCAAAAGCATATTATATGTACAAAAAAAAAAAGCGAAAAAGGTCAATATAAGGGACTAGAAGACTACAAACCACTATAGAATAATAAAAAGGATGTTTATACGATCGGTGGCTTTTCTATGTACTCGAAAAGGAATTTTTTTTTTCATTACAAAATCAAAACAAGTCAAACAATTATTATCTAGCGAAAATTCCTAGTTTACGGATTTGTACAATATACAATATCCGATATCGTCTGTGTATCCAATGTAGACCGCGATCATCGTGTGACCCGTCCAACATAGGATCCTATTATTATTATTATGTTATGATCGCAGAGGGATTTTTGTACACGGTGCGCGACCTTCCGCGGTCGTTTCGGAAGCGACCGGTGCCGTACGTATAATATCGTTGTGTGGGAACATTATACGGGATCAAGGATGACCGCGAACGGCTGATGATCTGTCTACCCCTTTGTCTTGGGAGTAGACAAAAGTGTCCGCAAGAGCGCCACTCGGGACGTTTAGTTACACGGTCGAGATCGGATATCGGCGGTGGCCGAAGCGACGGCACGACGCGTACACACACATACACACTTACACATGGAGGCGGCCTCGGAGTGGGCGGAGCTTCGTCTATCGGGGTGGGAGAGTGTTCGTGGCTCACACCCACAACAACACCACCGGGTCTGGTTCAAAATCATTGACCTTGTTACCAGAATCGGTTCGGCGCGACTTCGGTGTACCGAATTCGAATAGTTTTCCTCCCGTTTTAACACGAAAATCGCTTATGAAAATTATCGTTTTAATATTTTTCCGTTCGTATTTTTATTAAATTGATTCGTTATTTTCTAAGTGTTTAGTGCGATTTTTTTTTAATTTAATTAAAAAAAACACGTAATATATTTTATTATTCGTTTTTTTAACCGTTTCGTTCGTAACTTGTATTCTTTATTTTCGCCGTGTAACGCGCGGTACCGGCTAATCGCCGAACACGCATTCATAGTGCTGCCAAACAATCGGACTAAATTTTTCTTCGATAATTAGATTTCTACACAATTTTAGTAGACACTCACAAGGTAAGTGAAAACTAATATTAAATACATATTTAGGGTATATAAAATTAATCATTAAAATTTTAATTTAGGCAGGTATTTACAAAACATTTATTTCATAAGCCACCCGGGCCTACATGAAACGCATGACTCAGTGCGTGTTATCGAGTAAAAAGAAACGCATCATAGTATCTCGAAAATGATCAAGTTTAATTTTAAATAATACGTGATTCACTGAAAATATAAAAGAAATCACCATTCGATAAGACTATGTTTTAGAACAATTAAGGTTTCGTCATAACAATTATACTCGGAGATTGGTCATTTGCAAATATCATTTTTCGTCATTGAAATTAAATTTAATAGACGTTACGATACGTTTTTTGATTACAGTCTATTAATAATTATCTCGTATTTATTTTAATATTAGGCGTTAATTGTTTTAAAGTGGGAACCACAAAAATCAATAATTTAAGCGTTAATATGTAAATCGTAAAACGCGAGTCGAGGTTTTGGAGGCGCCAGAATATATAATAGTACATACCTATTTATTATCAAAGGCAAGACGAAGACAAAAAGTCTTAAAAAAAAATTATATTTTTTGACGTTTCGATCGAGTTGACCTTTTGACCGGAAATATTACTTGTCAAAACTGATTTGTTTTTATAAAAATCTGCACTAAAGGTTATTCGTCCGAAGACCTTTCTCTACGGGACTATAGTTTTTTTTTATATTATACGTAAAAAAACAGTTTTATCACGTAGTTCATGATTTTATCGACGATACTTTATATGCAGGTATTTTATAACTACAAATAATATAGTATATTTCCAATAACACCAATAACTATATATTTTTAAAGTATTCTTTAAAGTTTAAACAAAAAAAAATTAATAAATTAAAGATTATTGTGACTCCGCGTATAGACGTATCAAGTATACAAAAAGAAACTGGGGGAAAGCCGAGGGAGTATTTGTTTGAAATTCAAATTAATCCCCTTTTAACGAAACTGAAAAAAATTAACTCATTATTGAAAAAATTAATGTCAAATGCTATTGCCTCTTTCTGATTTTAAAACTTAGTAACAATTATGGACTTTTTTACTTTCGGGTAAAATGTACGGGTTAATTTTTATTTAAAATGAGTAAACGTTTTTTTTTTTTTTAATAATAAACGTAGTTTAATTTTCTGTAGAACTCCATATTATGAATCACAATTGTACTTTGGGCTTCAGTTGTATAGCACAAATTAAACTAAAATTGAAACAATACGATGAAATATAGCATGATTCTTACGCAAAGATGACGCACAAAATGTACTTATTGTTGCATAATATTTGTATGTAATAAACATCGCTTTAATTTTGCACGAGTTTATCTAAAATTACCCCCGGTTAGTCAATTATTTATTATGCATATTATCGCACTTATATCGGCTGTTATACGAAGTTCGTTCAACAATTAATCCTGTGTTATATTTTTTTGCATTCTATACTTATAGCGACCAATTGCCGTATGAGTAAAGGCCGCGGTAATGCGGTGTCTGGCAGCCGGATATGAGGAACGGCGGCAGCGGCGGCGGTGGCGTTGTTGCGGTGGCGTCGAGGAGCCGCTGGCGGATCACGTTGACGCTAATGGTGTGCGTGATGACGGCCGGCATAGAGTGCTGCGGCCCTTTGCGCGGACCGTCCAAAGTCCGGAATCCGCGGAAACTCAAGCCACTGGTGTTCCAGCAACACGAGCCCAACGTCAGCGAGTTCTCAATCACCGCCAGCGGACCACCCGAAGGCCGCATCGACCGCAACGACTCCTTGCGATTCATGCAGTTAGCGCCCAACTACAACGCGGACATCGAGTTCAAAGACGAAGAAGGCACCGGTGCTGATCGCCTTATGACTCAGGTATGATATATTCTGTCAATGTTAATCACAAGCACCGACACGAAACGTTGTATTATTTTTTAACAAAAAAACAAGCGTAAGCGCGAATAAAGTGCCGCCGATTAGCGAGAGACAAAGTTCTAAGACAAACAAATTCGTCAACCCTTTAATCGAGTAAATTCAAACGCCACCTGTCCAACAAATTTAGGTTCTTTGTTTCTATATTTATGGAAAATCGAACGTACAAAACCTACACGTTTCGATTTTTAATTTCTACATATTATAACACATAACCTAAACACTAAATAGTATGTCTGCACATATTTTGTAACAATTATAAAAATAATAAACATTTCTTAGATAGCATAAAAAAAATGTTATTTAATATGTTCAAATTAGTAGTTTTTAAATCGTAAGCTTATTATATCTTTCGGCGAGTATAATTATTATTGTACAGGTACGAGTTACATATAAAAATCGCCTTTCCGGTTGTATGTTTTTAACGAGCTATTATAATGTTCGTATTATTCTCTTGCTGGTTAATTGTTTTTTTTTCTTCTCGTGCGTTCCCATGGTTGTTAACGTCGACATTTTCCAAGTCGGCCTTCTCCATTTATACTCACGAACTGTTTAATAAACTCCCATGCTGCGTTCACGTCATTACCTTGACCTAAATGCATCCATCCCTGTACCCAAATCGTCGACATGTCGCCGAGTAGTGTTCTTCCCGCAAATCTAACCGATTGCATTGACACGCGCCTTACGGCTTACCACACTTCATTATCACTTATCATAATAGATCGAATGACACACAGCTCATACGCAAGTGTTATCGGTTAAAGGCGATAGCGTTATTAAGTACCATAAAGAAATTACATAAGAGAATTGAAAGTAGATACCCAATACTATATTTTACGATAGACGAAGAGAAATTGTTTTAGCGATAATAATTATAATAATGTATTTATACAGTATAAAATATCCGATTTACATGTTATATTACCTGTAGGAGTTATCGCATTACTAGGATTTAAACTTATCTTTGTCGCTTTGTTATTTCTTTTTGTTTGTTCGTAGAGTAGTATTATTATTCACATAATTAACAAAAGCCATTGTAGGAGTTTGCACGACCAAATGGCAAATTGTATATTTTGTTTTTAGCTTTTTTAGTGTAGACGTCTGACAGTCTGTTAGCATTTTGGCAATAATCCCCTGCCCTCGCTATGTCGGGAGACGTTTATAAATACAGTTTTCGGCAGTTCGCGTTGACAATATTATGTTTGCTGTCTGAGCCATGAGGTCGTGAATATAAGCTATAATAATAATAATAATAATAATATGTATAAGGCAATCAAAGCATTAGCGTATTACCGCGATCGCGTCCGTGTAATATGATCGTCGCGAGCCATTCAGGTCGAAAAGCATGTCGGCATTGTTCTCAGTTAAACAGAAGCATACATTTATGTATATATACGACAAATATATATAGATGTAGCTTATCAGACGTAATGAATTAAACAAAAAATTAAAAGATAAACGCTATTGTTTGAAATTAGGTGAAAAAATCGGTCGAATTCGCGCAACGGACAGCAAAAACGTTTTTTTTTCTTCCCGTTTAATTAGGTATTTTTATTGTGTACACACACACACACACACATAAATATATATATATATATGTTGTATACTAAAATGTTATGCAGTAGGTTAGGGTATTATAAAATATTCGGGCTCGTGCCCGTGTTTGTGTCCAGTCAACAATGCAAACCGACAAGCCGATAACATTGTTATTACGCGTTGTTTGTTCATTTGTCTGTGCCTGCGTACACGTTCCTCGTTCTATCTTTGTCTCTCGCACACAAATCCATCGGTATCCTTCGTCGTAACCGTGTTCACGGCTGTCCGGTCTCGTTATTTCGCTTTCGTATTGGCGTTCATATGCATCACCATCGGCGCGCGTGCTCCCGCGATCGTCAAGAGTCTAGACGAAGGTTGGATTCAAATCTGGAATCTCTACCGCGTAATATTTAACTTCCTAAAATTGAAATCCTGATTGCTAACCATTCGACTATCTGTTGTATTACACGTGTGCCCAATATTACCTGTAACACCTGTATTTCATACATTTGTATCAATATTTAGAACAATCAGGCTTTATCGTTTTGTTTGTCTAATATCAGTGATATGTTTAGAACTATTGTAATTTAGGGGGATACATATAATGATTTAAATGTTTTTACAGAAATTCTGGCATGTTCTTCCAACTCTTATAGTGCTATTTTCGATTTGTCTACCCCTACTTCTGGTAGCATTTTTACAACGAGCTTCGAAAATTTTGGTTGACTATGTTCAATCAAATGTAAAAACCGGTTGTTCCAGCTCTCGCTAACGTTAGTACGATGAGGTAACGAAAAATTATTTTGTTATATTATATTTTTGCACCTGTATATTGAAAAGAACGGTTAAATTAAATTGATGCGTCCGTATTACCTCGCTATACTTTTATTCTTCCATACGGTTTGATGATTAGACAATTTTTTCTATTGTTAAAATACTTGTTGCTTAAGTATTTACCCTTAATTAGCACATTGTTGTAAAAATGCATAAGTATTAAAGAAATGCAAAAAAAAAAAACAATTCTGCTTGAGGTCCGGAAGTAATTAATGTAAACGCTCGATTCGCCTTTATTAGACCTACGCTAAATAATATTTATGTATAAAGATTAACCAACGATTTGAATTAAATATTTGGTTGTTTGCCAGTAAAATCCTATTGCTTTACAGCTCTTTGTATTTTCAGATGTGTCCACTCCTACCTTTTCCATCTGCTATATTTAACCGTCTAATATAATACCTGGGGGGAAAAAGAGACCCAGTTCCCCGAAATTCATATATTTTTAATGACAAAATTCAATTGTAACAAATATATGCTTTATATAAATATAATATTATGTAATAACAATAAAATACATATGAATTTAATGTTTTTGGTTACTCAATTATCGACGTACCTATCTTTAAATCCATAGTCTAGTATTATGCGTTTCACATTCGAATACCTATATATATATTTATATAAACACACAAAGGGGGTTGTCGGTGCCATTTTAACCTCGTGCTTACACGAGCTATACGCCGTCGCCCCCGGCCACTACTTTCACTAAACTGCGTTGGAGAGCGGGCATAGCGCTCAGGTTTGGCACCGTATGTACCTGATGTACACAAACGAGAACAGACCGCATGTAAGCGAGCAGGCGTGGGCGTGGGAACGGCTACGCGATAAATCGTAGACGCGCACGCACGCACGCGGATCGATGATCGTCGTCGTCGTCATAGTCGTAAAAAAAAAAAAAAGAAGAAGAAGAAAAAAGAAAGAAAATAATAATAATAATAAAAAACCACACCATATACAAGAACCGGTTGCCTCTTCCTTTCCCCCGTCGGACGCGCTCATTCTTGTTCCTTTGAAAGTGGCCGTGTGTGCGACGGCGGCGCGTATATTAGCGCGCTCGAGACTCATACACGACCCCCCTTGCCATCACCGAGCACCGCCGCCACCATCACTACCACCTGTGGCGGGGGAAGGGAGGGAAATCGATACCGCCATCTTGATGGTCACGAGTCAAACACCTCATGCAGTCAAATAACATAGTACGATCGACGAAGTTTTCTTTTTCCATCATCCACGAATATAATATATATTATTTTTGTTCGCTTATCTATGACTATGTAACTTACAATTATAGCGGATAATGTGTCAGTTGGAAGAAACGGTTTTCGAAGATCATCGCTTAACGTAGTAATAATTGAAAGGCATTACGTCAGTCATCACGTCGCGACAGCTATGAAGACGCGCATGTCTTTTTCTAAACACTGTAAAGTATATTTCCCTCGAGAAACACAAGATACCTTTACTTTGAAGTCTGAAATTACATAACTTATATCAGTAAAATTGTTTTTTTATGTACGACAGCGGACAGCGTATTACGATATTAAACGAAACTTGATCCGATATTTGTATTTTATAATAAGACTTTTAGTTGTTATCCTCTAATTAATGTTCAATTACATATATAGAATTCTATATAGAATATTAAAAAATGCCTTTGTTTTTAAATATCTCACTAAAAAATCAGTTTGACTGGGATTACAATTCAAATAAATAACAGGTAGTCGGAAGAAAATGCTTTATGGGATCGACATGAAGTAGGCAAAGGACTACTGCCGTTGACATTATAATATGTAGTTGACTAAAAATATGTATACAACCACAGTTCAATAGGTAAAATAGTAATCTTCCTATACAATTCAATAATGCATACCGTTATAGCTTCTTACAAAAAATAATTGTATAGAATAAAATATATACAACCCACAATTTTAGGCCTTTCCTATCCGTTGGGTAACATTTCCATAGCTACTGAAAGACTACCTAATGAAATTACCACTACAGGCTACATTCTAGTAGTATATTTTTTACGTCTATAAAACATTACATTGATATCATAATTTTGATTTGTGTGACGTGAGATATATTTAATCTTATTTACTATTTTTTATATGTCTAAACCTACCCTAAACCTAAATTTATTTGTTTATACAAGTATTATAATGACTATTTTAGGTTATAATTTCAATGTGATATCTATGAATAGCACATATTATAATGTATATATATACATTTATCAATGATATTTTTAATCCTTAAATAGTTGCATTTTCAAAGGTGCCAATTAAAAATCATCAAAATGATCTATCCGACTCCGCGCGCCCAATAAAGGGTTACCTATTACATTTTACATCAATAAATGTCTCGAAAGATGTGTGCGTTATAGCTAGATCTGTAATTTTTCTACGCGGTAGGTGTAGAGGTGTATGGTATAATATACTCACAATAGGCACATCGATCGTGAAATTGAAATTCGATCCGTCACCCATAGGGGGTTATAAAATAGAAGAGGGGTAAGTCAATTGCAATTCACCTATATCCATTCGATTTATTATTTCATTTGTACACACGATATG